TTCTAAGTTTTGTGATGTTCCATTTGCAAAGATGCCAGACAGCAATGCCAGGAGCTTCACTGTGAAATGTCTCAATCTCACAAGATTAAAGTGTCTTTTAATCTCTGTAAGATTTAACCTCAAGGCATTAGCACTAAACTCCTCAAGCCAGTAAGAAGGCATCCCTTAGAAATAGACTATTTTCTGTCTAGTAAAAGCAGATTTTGAATGTTTTAGATAGACACAAACGAAGTAAATCTTTCCTCAGATGACTCCAGATTGCAGAAAGCCAGAGTAGAAAAGAATGCTTTGTATAAAGAAAACATCAATCGAGAAGATACTGTATATATACTAGTACATAGAAAAAGAAAATTTAAAGATTATGAAAAAAATCAATTTAGAGAATCATTTGGGTTTATATACTGTAGACTTTGGCATTGATGTACCAATACCAATATGGTATTGTATTAGTTGGAATGAAAATACTATATGTTATAAAGTTCAAAAAGGAGAAAATAATAAATCTTAAAAGCTCAAAAAGTTGAATAGTAAAAGAATTGCCTGTCCATCCAGGGTTTGCACATAGGAAGGAATTTTATAAACATCACATTACACTTGGTAAATACAATGGATTAGATAATGGCTAAATGCAATTTTCATGCAAAACCTGTAACGTTCCTTTGCTTGCTTTTTCCTTTAACTTCCATCTTATAAGGTAGGTTTAAAACAGTTTTCTACCATGCTCCAGGGATTGAATATCACAAAACTTAAACATCTCTTGCCTGAAAACTACTATCTTCTAAGAAACTGCCAACTAAGTGTACTGGCAACCTCCTAGAACTAAAAAGAAATGAATCATATAAGACAAGTATAATACAAAAGCCTTATAGAATGAGGAATTAAGAATCTGCAAGCAAATAATTTGAGTACTCATTTTTTGAACACTGTAAGGATAAAAATAATAGTGAAATCCTTAAGCTTCATTTAGTAAGTTTTTCAGATGACAAGTAAGTAATTATATTAATTTTGTTTCATGTCTAAGAGCACAAGGAGAGAAACAAAATCAAAATGTTTCAATTGGGAATCATAATGTTGAAAATGACTTAGAAACGTCAGTAGGAACTCAAGCTTTTTAAAAGAAAATATGTTCTCCAATTCTGTTGCTAAAATGAGCCAAAAACAAAAGGTCTTAAGAAAAATGAACCTAATGTTGAGATCATGATTTCTACTGCCATCCTTCCAGGACATCCTGGAGAAATGGCCATTTCAAAGAACCATTAGGCGTCTGTGGCCCTCTGGTGTATAACAGAGAAGAAACAATTGAAATTAAACGGGACCGTGTCAAAAGAACACAACAGGATCCTCACTGGTTAAAGTGGGTCAGTTTGAACAATAAACACAACAATTATTGCAGTTGATAGAATCTATAAAAAACTGTCCACAATGATATAAAGAAGAAAATTTTGCATAAAGTTTAGTAAAGTTGACAACCGTATAGACCATGTTACTTTTGAATTCTTTAATCAAATATGCTATTTTGTCTCATTTACTATCAGTAAAAAAATGCAGACTTTAGCAAATATTAAATACACAGAAAGCACTTCCTGGCTTGTGGGCGGGTGCTGACAAAATGATCTCATAAATTGTGATTAGAAATTGGACTAAGTTGTTCAGGACAGCCAAATTTTAGTTAGATACATTCAAATATCCGAACAAGAACCTTTATGGTCAAGAATCTGATAAAATTACAAGCCAGCATTAAACTCAGATTTCTGAAACCAATTTGAAAGACATTTGCATGTTTTAAAATCCTGTCAAATTACACGGCAGAGAAGTAGGATATATATTAACGTATCTTAAAAGTCAATTATGAAATCCAAAGGATGAGCCCAGATGGTAGCGCTCAAGCTATACGAAGAGACAGAATCAGCAGTGTGCAGAGATCACACCCAGGGACCAGCTTCACTCGCCCCAGGGTCCCACAGGTTCCGCTCCCCTTGACAATTTTTGTTGATCACAGAAAACATAAGTAGCTCTATATTGACTTTACTGGCATAGAAGCCTGTCTATGCTGCATTGCGAAGCATTAAATTCAAATTTCAGAATATCAATAGTATAATGCCACAACTAAACAAAATCAACATGTTCAAAATTGACTACGATCTTTGCACTAGAATTATTACTAAAATGTATTGTTTCTCTACACTTTATTTATTTTTTCCTAATAAAAGCAGGGGTGAGTTTTCACGCTTGTAAACATAAACACAACACATCAGAGCCCCCAGAGAGGCTCCTGCAAGTTCCGGGGCTGAAACCGAGCTGCAACCCGAGCTCTCGGACGCAGCCCCGCCTCGCGGCCCGGTGCGCATGCGCAGACGTGGCCCTCGGCGCGGGTCCCAGCGGTGCCGGGAGGCGGTGCAGTTCCACGCCCTTCCGAGTATGTCCTCCAGCTACTTGATGGCTCTGAACCTTACGGGAAGGTTGTTGCGTACCCAGAAAGGGAGCTGCGCGCACCCTGGGTCGCCTGTCGCGGGGAATGACGGCCTCGCCCACGCGGGGGTGCAGGGGACGCGCGGACCTGCGAGGGACCTGGTGACGGAGGAGGGACGTTCAGCGCCTCTGCCACCGCCCGTGCTCCTGGGGCTCTTAATTGGAATGCAATTAAATGGCTATTAATTTTGCAGTCTGTGGTTCCCTCTCGTGCTAAATACGCTGTTTGCTGGATACTGAAACACGTTAACTAAAAAGTGCAAAAATGTGGTCTTTGAACTAAGAAGTTAGTGGCCAGGTGCCCACTGTCCCTTTCCTTGCTCTCTTTTGTCTCCGCAATTCCAGGTGGTGGCGGCCCTGATACGAACAGATACTTTGCTCTTAGCCTTTGGGAATCCCAAAGGCTTAGTAGATTTGCTCGAAACTTCGCGTTTTTAGTAATGCTAGTAATACAGTAAGCTTTTATGTCTTTTACTTTAAAATGCAAGATCAGAGAAATAGACTTTAAAGTTTAGCTTAGAATGAATGAATTAATTACTTCAGCCCTGGAAGGTACTTTTAAACTAACATTACCTAACAAGTTTGTGTTTCTTTCTGGTGATGTAAAGCTATACACATTCATTTTTTATGAATGTCATAAATAATAATTAGCACTTAGGTGTTATCACCTGCAAATTCTACTCTAAATAAAATTAGAAGCTCTGTTAAAGCCTCCCAACCATCCTCAGGTGGGCATGTTTCCCTCATTTCACAGATGGGAAAACTGAGGAGGTGGGATGGTGAGAAACTGAGACCATCTGACCCTGGAGCCTCTTTACCACCTGCTCATGCTCCGGGACTTTTGTTTCTAAGAACAAGTATTACGTAGTGCATATATTTGTGGTAACAAAATCAGTATTAAAATTTAAGCAATTGTGTAATAGGAATTTTTGTGTTACAAGGAAGAAAATTTCAAAGATCAATTTTGCAATGTAGATTTATAACAATTTTTTACTTTAAAATTTTTCTCTATTCATTATCATCCTTTTATAATTCAGGTTTGATAAAACTGCACAGAGCTGTGTTTCTACAGAAATATTATATGTTATTTTTTTTGCTCAGATTAATCTTGTGGGCTAAAACCATCCTCCTGCCTCAGTCTCTCAAGTAGCAGAGATTATAGGTATATGCCAACACACAGAGCTATGGTTTATCTTTTCTTTTTCTTTGATTAGTTGTTGTTAATCTGGACAAAATTCCACAACTTTTATTTCAAAATGTTTATTCTAATTATTATTTTTGTACTGTTTTCTTATGTGAAAAGTTTGAGGCTCAAATAGGTTGAATATACCGAAGATGACATGCTACACCACAGAGCATAAAATAGAAATCCTCTTCTAGGACTAGCTGGACTTCGGATTGCTGATGCAAGTGGCTTTCACAACCACCTCACTTCAGAGTGTATAGCTGTTACTGTAAAAATGTGGTTACATATCACCAATGTGCATTTGATTAAAAGTAAAGAGCCTAACATTTTGTGTTTTTTTTTAAATAGGATAATATTGTTAGTCTTTTATCCAAAGATATGGTACAAAATTAAATTTTATTATAAATATTAGGAAGAATTTATGGTTTGGTGACTAGATTGAATTTAGTTTCAACATCTTGTTTTCTAACAGATACATGATTCTGAGATATATATGTACAGTGATTCTGTCCACTTTTATTTCTTCAGAATTTTTCTCTTTTGCAGTTTCCCCATGTTTGTTATTTGAAGCTCTGATTATCATGTCAATCATTTTGGTTCTTTTTTTTTTTTTCCTCCCACAGCTTTGCTTCAAGACTTCTTTCATTTGTCTAGAAGCTCTCTTGCAAGTGAGCTCACCTGGGTGGGCTGAGTTGCCTTGGAGAGGAGCAATTTTTAGGAAATCAATATATTGCTTTTTTTTTTTTTTTTTTTAGAAAAGTCTTACAAATTTGCTGTATAAACAGAATAGAAAGTCTTAGAATTTTCCTTTCCCCTGATGAATTTCGGTGCTTTGACCTCAATCAGTGATTCTATTTGGGTCAATTACTTTAAGGTTTCAGTTTTTAATTCACATGAATCTTGCACCTAATTATTCTAGTAAGTGGTTCAACAGATGTCTACTGATGGTATTTCAATTCTTGTAGCCAGTGACTACTGGAAGCGATTTAACGCAGCTGGAGAATAACACTAACAATCATGATAAAGAGCAAAGTGTGCAACAATTTCACTCTATTTTTGTAGCCTCTTAACCCTGGTAATAGTTACTGGATGAGACTTGACAAAAACCGTTTATTATGATTAAAGAAACAATGTAAAGGGGGCGAATCCTGGGGCAGCTCAGTGCCGGGCATGTGGTGAGAGGTTGTTTTGATAGGAGTTTGTGTTAAGTGTAAAATTCTTCATCTGAAAGGGACTGTCATGGGTCGGTCTAATTTCCCCATCTGATAACCCTTGTGAGGGAGAGCACAGATGTAGCTCATTTGGAGAAATCAAGAGAGAGAAGAAAAGAGCCAGAGCGGAGAAGGTGTGATCAGCCATGTTCCAAAGCCCAGTGGCCTTTACTCTCCTGACTTTGGGAAGTGTGATGCCGTCACCGCTGGCCCCCTGCCACTACCTCCCCAGGGAGCTGTCCCCATCAGTGGACTCCCGGCCCTGTAGCAGCCCCTCTGAGCTCCCAGGCAAGGCAGCGAAGCTCTTCCTGGGGGTCACTCCTCCTCGGGCCCCCCGGCTGCCTCGCCGGCTGGCCTGGTGCTCCATTGACTGGGAACAGGTCCACTTGCTACACAGGCTGGGAGCCGGAGGGTTTGGCTCAGTCTACAAGGCCACTTACCGCGGTGTTCCTGTGGCCATCAAGCAAGTGAACAGGCGCACCAAGAACCCACGAGCCGCCCAGCGGAGTTTCTGGGCCGAGCTCAACGTTGCCAGGCTGTGTCACAACAACATAGTCAGGGTGGTGGCCGCCAGCACCCGAACGCCTGCAGGCTCCAATAGTCTGGGTACCATCATCATGGAGTTTGGGGGTGACATCACTTTACACCAAGTCATCTATGGTGCCACCAGCTACCCTGAGGAGAAGCCAGGGGAGCCTCACCCCTGCAAAGGGAAGCATTTAGGCTTGGGGACGTGTCTAAGGTATTCTCTAGATGTTGTAAGCGGCCTGCTTTTCCTCCACTCACAAAGCATCGTGCACTTGGACCTGAAGCCTGCAAACATCTTGATCAGTGAGCAGGATGTCTGTAAAATTGGTGACTTTGGTTGCTCTGAGAACCTAGCAGATCTGCAATGTCTCCAGACCTCTCTGTACCACCTAGGCGGCACATACACTCACCAAGCCCCAGAGCTCCTCAGAGGAGAGCCCATCACTACTAAGGCTGACATCTATTCCTTCGCCATCACCCTCTGGCAAATGACCACCCGGGAAGTGCCCTACTTGGGGGAGAGGCAGTACGTGCTCTATGCGGTGGTGGCCCACAATCTCCGCCCATCCCTGGCAGCAGCTGTCTTCAGAGACTCTATCCTTGGGCAGAGGCTGGAAAGAATGATCAAATGCTGCTGGGGGGCCCTTGCTGCGCAGAGACCCAGTGCAGAGCTCCTGCTGGAGGAGCTGAGCTCTCTAAAAGAGCTCTCTGCAGTGGACTCTGAGCCTGGATCCAGATAAGCGTTTGTCTTTGTTTCTATTTGTTTTTAAAGAGGTAGAGATGTAAAAGAAAACATATTTGTAGGATTCTTCGAAAATAAAGTTGCTAAAAGATCCTTTAGTTGCAAATGCTTTTTTAAAGAAAGATGATGGAGATTTTGGTAATTGTAGAACCATTATTAGCTACCTTTATTCCACAGGAATTTTATGCCTTTCAGAGCTTGGTAATTATTTTAACAGTTCCATAGTGTTACATTTGCTCAAACTTGATAAGAATAATTTGTCTAAAACAGAATTCCCTTGAAGAAGTGCTAAAATCGTCTCTATGTTAGCATGTATCTCACGTCTACCACCTAAATTCAAATCAGTAATTGTTTACTTGAGGTAATTCTAAATCCTCAAGACCTTTAAAACAAATTAGTATGTTTTTTCCTACTCTTTCCCTTATGAAAATTTCGTTTGAGAATGACCTTCTCAAACCTGAACTAAATTTATTTTTAAAGAAATACCTTAAATGTCTTCTAATTTTTTTAAATTTTTATTTACTTTTTGTAGTAGTGGGAATTGAACTCAGGACCTTGCACTTGCCAGGCAGGCAGTTGTCCCTCTGAACTATATTCCCAACTCTCTTGTAATATTTTAAATGTATGTATTGTCATGATAGAAAATTCTTGCTAAAATACTTTGGGGATTTTTATTTATTAATTTTATTTTATTTTATTGGTACAGGGATCGAATTCATGACCTTACTCTTGCCAGGCAGGCGCTTATGCCGTTGAGCTAAATCCCTCTTTGTGGATGTTTTGTTCTCTGTTTTTTTCGTTTTGGTTTGGTTTTGATTTTGGTTCTTTTTGCAGTACTGGAGATCAAACCCAGGACCTTGTCTCTGAACTGCATCATCAGCTCGATTTATTTATTTTATTCAGAGCCTCACTAAGTTTGTTAAGCTGTTCATACTGGTCTCAAATACTCCTGCCCTAGCACCCCAGAGTTCAGGGATTACAGGTAGGAGCTACCAAACCCAGCTGTTAAAATCCTTCTAAACTGGGTATCTTTTACCAGTTTTTTTTTTTATCTCACAAGTAGATGACAAAATAAAGATGATGTGACCTGAGGAAAAATGGTTAATACTGAGAAATGGTAAAGTTTATATTTGACAAAGAACAGCAGGAATCAGATTATTTTTCCTAGATATTAGGAAAAATAGGGGTTGAGCCGAGGCTATAGCTCAGTGGAACGGGTGCTTACCTGGCAAATGCAAGGTTGTGAGTTCGATTCCCAGTACTCCCTCTCCCTCTGAAAAATAGACGGTGTATATAGGCCTGGTTCTTGCGGTGGGGACAGCTCTGACTTTCTTTTAGTGACAGCAGGGTCAGTGCACAGTGGAGTGAAGGCTTCAAGTAGGAGCTGCATGTGTGTGACCATGAAGGACAGAGGGAAAGGCAAATTCTTTAAACAAGGAAGAGACATAGAAATGCATCTGCTATTTGGTTTTAGGATGAAGGAAGCAAAGTTATTTATGTAAAAAAGCAGAGAAGATAAAGATAATTAGTAATGTCCAAGAGAGAAGAGGTGAAAGGTTGTAGTTATGGAAAGACTATAGTCTTGGAGAGAAAGGGCATCTCTTCTCAGGATGGGAACCCTGGAGAGTGACTCAGCTGCCATGATAGGTAAGCTCACCGTAGGAAAAGGGAGAGACGCACGTGTAGGGACCGCTCTTTTTTCTGTCTGGAGTGGCTGAGGGTAGGGGTGTACAGAGTGCGAAGTGGTTTAGAACTGTTCCTGAGGGAAAACAGAGCTCTCTGTGGCCATGTCCTCCTGACAGTGCTGCCAGCACTGTCCAGGTGAGCAATAAACACGGCCTCTGACTTATGATGGGTTTTTTGAAACAATTACTTTGTGATGGTGTAAAAGCAATAGGTATTCAGGAGAAATCACACCTTGAATTCTGAATTTGGATCTTTTCCCTAGCCAGGTAGATGAAATCTGAGCCCCATTCTGTGATGGGCAGCTGCAGTGAGCTGCGTCCCCCTCAGCCTCAAGATGAGGAGAGAAATGGCCAGTGCTCTGCAGTGCTCTGGGTTTTCTGGAGACTGCTACAGCCGGCCTTCCTTAATGGGGGTCCCATTGCTGTGTATTTAACCAGTCATGTGCCAAAAAGAGGCTCATGCAGAGAAAAAGCATCTGTACACATCTGTACAGACTTCTGCTCTTGCCACTCTTCCCCACACAGTGCAGTGGAAGCATTTGCTTTGCGTCTGGTATTACAGGTAATTTAGGGTACCCAGGGAGATGTGCCTATGTTGTATGCATAGACTCTGCCATTTTATATAACAGACTTGAGCATCCTTAGATACAGAGTTTGGTCTTTGCAGAGAGTACTGGCACCAACCCCATTCATATACTGGAAGACAATGTATTCAATAAATTGTAAGATCGTCAACATCATTGTAAAATCCACTTGTGCTAGGCTAGATGAGTTTCGGTGAGCATGCATCCAGTAGGCTATGCCACACCATAATATTCAGTAGCTCAGGTGTATCGAGTGCATTTTCAACATATTTCTGCCTTATGTTAGGCTCATCAGATCTAATGTCATTGTAAATTGAGAAGCATCTGTAATTCATCCTCTGTTGCAGCAATAGCAATATGAATTCCATGTAATGTTGGTAAGTTTTAAATAGATTCAAAAACATATAAGTGGTCAGATGGGTTTCATTAGGCATGTAAAAACGATACTCAAACTATGGCGAACACTTTATTATCAGGCTGTCAGTGAGCTGCACAAAGGTTTCCTGTTAAGGACATGAAAACCCAGAACTGGATTCCAGAGTAAACACAGTCTTAGCTCAGGTGCCAGTGTCTTTCCTTCTCCTGAAAACCACACCAAATGACAAAATAAAGAGGGAAGAATAAAACCTGCCAACTTCTTAATCAGAAAGCAACTTCTAGAATATATGAAGTGATACCCACAGACTGTACCAAGCCCACAGGAAGAGAGCAGGGCAAAATAGGGGAAGCTCTGGGAGGCCCGAGGGACCCATCACTGACAGGTTGGTCTCAGAGAGAAAGAGACACCCTGAAGAGGGAGACCACTGGGAGGTATGAGAACAGGGCTGAGATCACACAGAGCAACCTTCCCTGAACGGGTAGAGAGAGACAAAGTGCTCTAGAGGGTGCAGGCAAATGCCAGCAAAATGCAGCTCGGGAACAGGAGGGGTCCTTTGGGGTGGATCAGGGATCTAAGCGAGGTTTACATGCCTCCTGAACTTGGTATGCTTTTGGGGAGAAGTTGTGGCTGTGAGCAGAAACACACAGCAATCTGTATTGGAAGGGAATGAGCAGATGAAGGAAGCCTTTGAATTGCAGAAAGACCGCCTGCCTGGAAGCAGAGTAGCTACAGGGACCACTGCCTCAAAAAGAGATAAGACTCAGAGGACTTTACTCAAGGCTGCCAAATCAAGTCAGAGGTAAAGGCACATCTAACAGTGCGCAGCTAAATATTCGGAAAGATGTACTACCGACTTGGGCTGGAAAAAAGGAAGAGGTGAGTAGATACAGACTGTCAGTGCTCAGAGAAGTAGTAAGCAGGTGCTATCTAGGAATAAGGGAATTACACACAGGCAGATGCATAATTATCACACATTTGTATAATAAACACAATAAATATCTCAAAAAAGATAAAATTGAAATTTAAACTTTTTCTAATTTTGTTCATTTATTTGGAAATTTTAGAACTCTTAAGTAACTACAGTATGTGTCAAAAGAAAATACTAGTGAAAGCTGTAGGAATTCCTAATAAGAATAATGAAAGCATGAATACTATTATGACCAAGGAGATAAAAATAAAGAAAATAAAAAGTCACAATTTCAAGTAGTAATAATATAAATTTTAAAAAAAGAAAACAATTTAGCATACCCATTGAAGTATGGAAGGAACAACAACAAAAAAAAACTAAAGGGAATTATAAAACAGGAATTAAAGCAGGCTATGAGAGGGCTGGGGATTTAGCTCAGCGGCATAGAAGCCTGCCTTGCAAGCAGGCAGTCGTGAGTTCGATCCCCGGTACCAAGAAAAAAGACCAAAAAAAAAAAAAAAAAAAAAAAGCAGGCTGGGAGTTGAACTGCCATATGCTTGTAATTGCAGCATTTTGGAGGCTGAGGCAGGAGGCTGACGTGTTCTAGGCCAGCCTGGCAACTTAGCAAGAAATGAAAAAGGGCAAGGAACATGGCTCAGTTGTAGAATGACCTGCGGTCCAGGCTCCAGAAACACATGCACAGACACACACACACAGTAGAACAAGTTAATGAAAGGATAAATGAAATAGTTTGTAAAATATCAACAAAACAAACCATTGGCTCACTTACAAGAATTTAAACCCTATATACATACACACAATTAGAAATAAAGAGAACGATGAACAAAGCAGAGTAATTGTCCTTCTATTTCAAAAGAAAACTATAGAAGTAAATTTCAACGCCCGGTATGTAGTAAAAAGGGGGTCCTCCTGTGTGGCTGGCTGGAAGGGTTCTCTCACTGGACAAACCTGTGATAGCTCAACCATTATGATAGTAAACAGCAAATAAATTATGAACAATAGTCGTAATAAAATAGAAATCAACGTTGATAAAATTAACTACACAAATAAGGTGTGAGAAATGAACACTCAACTTTACGATAGAATACCCACTAATACAGTTTTAACTACAGCATACTTATTCTTTATCCTCACACTGGAGAAGTCCTGCCAACATTATTTTAAGAGTGATACAGATAGATAATGGATAGATACTTTAGTGAAGTTTAATATCAGTAACAAGATGAATCAACATCTGTGCCTCCTGATAGGCTATACTGTGAGGGATACGGCGCCCCTTCTCTGGTAGGTCTTTGAATGGTAGAAAATCTGTCTCAAACCATGAGGAGACAATGTGCGCAAGCCAAACTGGTCTCTCTGTTCAAAACTATCAAGGTCTTGAAAGACAAAGAAAGATTAAAGAGCTATATTATTTTATGTCATATTATCTTTAACAAGAATAAATTAGTTAACTTTAATAATTGGGGGATCTTTGTTGAACAAAGAAAAAATTGCAGATCTTTGTATCA